ATTACAAGGAAATTTTGCTTTCACTGATGAATTAACAGCATCAAGAAATGCTGGTCCTATTATTCCATTATAAGTTAATGAACCTAGAAATGGGATATCTGTATCCATATTAATACCAATAAATACAAAACCAATTGGATCATTATATGTTGCACTGGAATGAACAGCTACAGAATATATATATTCATTCGAATTATTATAAGGGATTGTACAAGAAAGAGAATAATTATATGGAGAAAAACGAACAAAAAATGAAGAATCAGAAGCCAAAGATTCGACTAATAGAATATCATTAGCAGCAAGTTTAATACCATATGCATCAAATGAAGATTGATCAGGTGTAAAACAATAAAGAATACGAATAACAACAAATAACAAATATAGAAAAGATCTGTAGACAAATTTCATTGATAATCAATCCTATCTTCTATCACAATTTACCTTTTTTATATCAATGACTACAAAAAAAAGAAAAAGGCGTAAAATATTAATAACCCTCATTACTATACTATTTACATAAACTATATAGAAATGAATAATATTTTTTTTATTGCTCTGCAAATATGCTCATACAAATTATGTACTTTTTCTCTATTTACCTAGTCATCATCGAAAAAAAAAAGAAATCAAAAAATATTTAGAAAACACAATTACAAAAATGACTTGTTGATGCCGCTTTTTCTTTTCTTCTTCTTCTTCTTCTTCTTCTTCTTATTAAAGCAATGCCATTGAATAGTTAAAGACACTTGAAATTGTACCATGCGGTCACAAAATAAATTTTCCTCCAAGAATAATAAACTGATTTTCGATGAAAAATTGAAAATAGAGATGTAACTAATAGATTTACTCATCACTAAACATTATCGCAACAACAACAAATATTGATTGATTTCTATTTTTAACCAAATTATTTATGTACCAAAAAAAACAAGAAAATTTTCTCCTTTTTTTATCGAAAAACATCTAAAGAAAGAATTAAAAATTTGATTTTATTTTTCGAATCAATCACTAAGAAAAACTTTGATAAATCTATTAATATTTTTGTTTTTCATAGATAAAATGAGAAAAGAAGTTTTTTCTCTTTCTACAATATGAAATCAAATAAAAAAAAACATATAATTGTATATCATTACATTTGATTTATTCTTGAAAAAACTTCCTTAATGATCAACAAAAATTTGTCACATAGAAATATTCATTAGAAACAGAATCATATTATCTCAATTAATAAAAATCATTCTTCATCAAAATAGATTTTAATTCAATGCTCATTTTCTTATAAATAAATTAGAATTAATCACGTTTTTTCAAATTCATAAAATACAAAAAATATGTCAAATCAATACATAGATCATAGTACTACGAATAAAACAAGATAAGAATATGATTATGAGATAATATCTACCTTTTCTCGTTAGTCTTACAATCAATATTATTTATTTGATTTTATCATAAAGAAAGTATTGTCATATTTTATGTCCGTGCATTTGATTGACATGAGCAATTTGATTAATATCTTTAGTTTTTGTCTCTTCACATCTATACCTCAATTATAGATTATGTATGATATGTGAATAACAAATAAACGCTTTAACTATGGTGTCTTCTATCCAACGACTTGATTATAACTTGTTTATGCCGGTGAAACAGAATCTATATATCAATGCTAACCGCTATAAAAAAAAACACTCGATATATGCATCAATGATTTATTCATATTTTTATATTTATTTATACTTGTCGATTGTGTATTAATATTAAACGGTAGGTACAACATTTAGTATTTAAATCCAATCTAAAATATTTAAACAATAGTTTTATATGTTAGAGTTTATTTTCTTATTTTTGTTCTTAAGAATTTTCTTCATCAATTTTCCTTCGTCATTTTAATCTTCTGTATTATATTTTATGCAACATTCGTAATGCATAAATTGTTCGATTGATATTTTATTATAGATTAAATTTCTAAAGATGAATTTTTAATATTTTTTCGTAAACATAAAATTATTCTTTGAAAATATATAATTAAATGAAATGAAATAAAGACATTTTTTATTTTGTAACTTAAATAAAAGTAGATTTAATTACTGAGAATTATTCAGTGTATTTAAGAGAACATTCAATGTCTTTATTTCTAATACAATTCTCTCAGATTTCTTTTGATGATAAAAAAACTTTTAGACTCTCATTTGTTTTATCTAGAAGTTGCACGATATTCTCTCGTTCATATTTTGTAAAATCTATTCATTACTGTCAAAGATATTGGATTTTGAAATTAGTAATAGTTAAACTTCAAGTTCATCATTATATATTGAATACTTTTTCTGCTTCAAATATAGATAGGACAATGGGAGTATGGAAGTACGGAAGTATCGCTTTTCCCCCCTTAAGATGGAAACATTTTCCTTCTATGCCATCACCAAACAATCCACAATGGTGTGTTGATAGTGATGAACTCATGAGTCGTTTCGCTTTCTTTGGTTTAGCCTGTCATCATACTCGAAAGCTCGATTCTGGTATGGAAAGTATAGAATTACATACGGCGACTCTTACACATTCAATACTTAGATCTGCTCACTACGTAAGGGATATGACTGCTCTATCATTATTTGCTATTCGGGCTCCATTTGATCGGTACGGTGCTGCAGCCTATTTCGATCGTAAACGGCGTTTAATTGGTATTTATCTATCTCATCATGATGAATTAGTCATGCCTCTGAGCAACTCATGTGGCCTTGACAACGATTGAACCTATGCTAAATATATGTGGCGATCGTCTGCCTTAGCTACAGTGACTTTATAGGATATATTAATGGATTTTAACATTAACAAATGGTTTACAAATAACAAATACTACTGGAGCAGGTCTTCTTTCACTTGGTTGGCGTCAATGTACATTTATGTGGGCAACATTATCCGCTAATCAATATATCGAAAACAACTTTAATATTGATTTGTCGAGCGATTCATATGGATCGGAAAGAATGGATGTAGTTGTATGGTGGCCAGACGCCAGTACACAAACTGAAAAGTCCTCAAAATGTTGTACTTGCTCAAGCAAACACACCTCAACAAGTATGGCAAAAAATTAGTTATGTACAACCAGGAAATACAAGAATACCTAGTGGTACATATGTCATTCATATTGATGTGGGTACTCTTCAGCCATCAGCCAACAACGTACGTCTTCTTCTCACTGCTTGCACTCGACCTGAATAAATGACTCTCATCCATTTATCTTCATTAATATTCTAGACTTTTCTTTTTTTTTCTATCATCTTATTCGATCTATATATTTAATCCTGATTTTCATTTTTATCGTAAAAAGATGTTTACTCAATAACCTATCATTATTAATAAATCAATTTAAAGTTAAAACCATCTTGAAGGTGTGGATGAGGGTGAGAACATAACCATCACACAATGGCTCAAACAAAATTCTGTGTAATTGTTAGCTGTTATTACATAGTCCTTATCAATGATTCATAAGCACAACACTATGTGCCTAATAAGAGAACTGATAATAAAAATATGCATGGTAATAGATAAGATGTGAAAAAAATCTATTAAAACATTTCATTTTCATACAACTTTTTAAGTAGATCAATGTTTCCACTGAAATTGTTTTTCTGTATTGTTCATTTAATTTCATTTACAATTTTAATCAAATCACAAAGAGTATGTCTGACTAATTCAATGATTACTTGTCATTGTGCAGATGATAAAAGTTTAGTGACATGTATTGAAAATGTTCCTAGTGCTGAAACGTTTATTAATTGGTCAACATTTTCGTCAGATGAACATGAACATTATTCATTCAATTTTCTTAACTTCACAACTTTAACATCTTATACATTTACTAATTTTTCATTAACATTTCCTTTACTTCGAAAACTCGAATTTAATTTTACAAATGGAATTGATAATATAGCAGAAAATATATTTGGATCATTTAATTATGTTTCCGATATGCCAATCTATATTAGATTTGAATCACCAAGAAATTTTCAACTTGCTGATTATGCATTTACTCAAATGAAATATTTGGAAATAACTATTGACAATATTCAATATAATAATATTCACAATCTACCATATCAATTCAATTTAAAAGCATTTGATAATACACACATTTTTCAAATCAGTATTCGAAATTCTAAAGAAGTTCAATTGATTTCAAATCAATCATCAAGTTTAAAATGGGAAGAAGTTCAATTTAATAATTGTTCATTAACAAATGTTGATCTTCTTATTGAAAGTTTGTCATCTGAATCATTGATTAAATTAGATTTATCATTCAATAAGTTAATTCATATTCCTTCTTTGGTTAAATTTATTAAGATGACTAATATTGATTTGCATGATAATTCGATTGAAGAAATCAAATCACATATATTTTCTAATCTAACTAATCTATGTGAACTTGATTTATCATCTAATCAAATAAAACACATTTCACCTGATGCATTTCTTGGATTAAAAAATTTAACTGTTTTACTTTTAAATCATAATCATTTAACTTCATTGGAAACTGTAACAATTCATAATGAAGTAACATCATTTTTATTTCCATTGAATGAAACATTGCGTTCTCTTATGATATCAAACAATCTTCTTCATGATTTTAATCCAATACAAAATCTTTCACATATAGAAATATTAATAATATGTTGGAATCAAATTAAAAAATTAGATGAAAATTCATTTAAAAATGCTCATAAACTTCAAACAATTGACTTAAGTCATAATCATATTGAATCAATTCATCCATTGACTTTTAATCGTACAATTCTACAAAATCTTGATTTATCCTCGAATTTAATTTCTTCATTAGAAACAACAAAAACAGTCTATGATGAACATTTTCAACCGAAAAATCGAACCACTTCATTTTTTGATGGTGTTGCATCGACACTTGTCAAATTATCATTAGCGAACTCAACAAATTTAGTAGAAATAAATTGGTTTGTTTTCACAAAATTAGAAAAACTATCATCTTTGGATCTTTCTGGAATACGAAAAACGGATAGATTTTGGTTATTAGAATCCAGAGATGATACACCGATTCAATCGAATCATCATTCATATAATATTGACATTATTCTTAATCATATTCAGTTCAAAGATGATGATTATTGTTTATCAAAACCAATATTTCAAATATTGAATCAAACAACTTTATTTCTTGATCAGAATCATCCATGCAATTGTTTTATATTTATGTTGAGAAACATAATTTCTACACAACAACATTTAATTTGTTTATCAAATGACTCAATTACTGTAGATTTAGCTCAGCAATGTATGAATATTGATTCATATTGTTTATCTGTGGAAAATACAACAACTATTCCATTCACTCAATCGACATCGTCATCAAGTACATCTAGTACAACGACTGAGTTATCATCATCATCATCAACTACAAGTTTTGCAACGACTGAATCATCATCATTGTCATCATCATCATCAAGTACAAGTTCTTCAACGACGACTAGTACAATATCAATTAGTACTATATCAATAACAATGAGAACAGATCAATCGTCAACATCAAGTTTGACAACGTTAATTACAACGACCAAGATTTTGACTACATTGAGAGCAGTAAATGACAATGGAAAATGGAAAACAACATTAGCAATAATGATTCCTTTAACAGTCATCATTATTGTTTTGTCTTTAGTCGGTGTTTATATTGTTAAAAGACAAAAGAAAAACAAACTCAAGGAAAGTATTGAGATGGATGGAGCATTTGTCAATCCATTTGCTAAAAAATAACTTTTCTACTTAATCATGTCCGTTTGATTTAACTTTCAAATAAATTTTGACAGATCTCTATATTTAAAAGATTTCTTACAGTCCAAAACAATTTTAAATAAAATTTTACATGAATTTCTATACACTATAGAGTGTGGATATAAGTGAGGGAGTAACAATCACACTCACACCTTCAAGATATTTTTATAATGTTATTGTAAATAATATGATATAGTTTGTCCTATTAAATTGAGTGAGAGCGAAGGTCAGACAATTGAAAAAAAGATGGAAACTTCAAATATCCTACAAACTTTCCTTCTTCCTTTAACCTTTCTCACTTTTGTTTGTGAAATTGAAAAAAAATATAAGAAATTATTTTGATGTAAATAATCAATAAAAACAAAGAAAAATAGATCTATTTCTGTCGGAAATCTACGTATGTTTAAATATTTTAAACGTTGGTAAGAATTGATTTTTACTGTCAAAGAAAATAGTGAAGAAAACTGATAATCAAAAATGGAAAAATGAGAATATGGATAATGAGTTAATTATTCTTTTAAAATTGAATGTAAAATCAATAGCTATGATAGGAAATGTTCATGTCAATTATTGTGTTCAATTTGATAGTTTACACAGCTTCATCTATTTGATTTGTTTTTTTCTTGGGAATCGTAAATCTTAGTAAACCTTCGTCACGTTCTATTTCTACTCCATCAGGATTAATATCTTTTTTGAATGGTATATTCAATTTAAATGATCCAACTGGAATATCAGATTGACGAATAGTAGGATTAATCATTCCTTTAGTTAAATCAAGTCGAGTACCTTCAATACTAATTGATTTGTCTGTTCGAGATGTTTTTAATTCACCTTTTCTAAATCCTGCAGCTTCAACAACTAAATAATGATTATCTTTGTCATCATAGAGATTATAACGAGGTTGCCATTGTCCACTTTCATTTCGAATAAAATATCCTGCATCATCATAAACAAGTTTTTCTGCTAATTTCAATGAAAGAGGATCTTTTAAAAGATCTTCACGATGTTGTCGATCAGAATGTACAATATAAGGTTGACTATTATGTTGTACAATTTCTATATTTTGTGAAGTCAAACTATTTTCATAATGATTATCTTGTTTGAATAATTGTGGAAGTTTAGTATTAATAAAATGAATCATATCATTAATAATATCAAGACTTTGTTTATTTTCAGAATTTTGAAGTAAATTCATAATCCCATCAAGTGTTTGTTTATTCCAATGATCAGCTGCATTTGAACGAGATTTTGCTAAAATATAATGTCGTACATCAATACCACTTTGGTACGATGTAAAATAATTAATTGATTTGGCAGTACGATTAACTACTAATTGTAATGTTTCTAATTTTGCCCCAAAAATATTTTTAACTTCATTTTCAATAATTTTGTCTAGATCTTCAATTGTTTCAATATCAACAAAATTATGAACAATAATAACACTTTTCTTATTTGGAGTATTTCGACAATATTTTAATATTTCTTTAATATAAATTTGATCTGTAGCACGTAGACGATTGACGACAATAATAATAAAAGTAGATAAATGTAAAACAACTTCTCGTAGAAGTGCTTCTGTAGCTCTTTTAAATTCAATTTCTTCATTTTTTACAGGTGTATCTGTTCCAGCAGTATCCAAAAAAAACGAGATTTGTATAATTTTCTCTTCCAGCTGTTATGGAAATACCTTCGGTAGATATTAAATTTCCATTAGGAAGTTCAATTTTACAAAGTTTTTTCAATAAAAACGATTTGCCACGATTATAAGCACCAAGAGCAGTAGCTATAACACCTTGTTTCTTTTCAGGTAATGAATTTGTTGATGCATTTCTATCAAGTATCATTCGAATTGGTAGAATATTTTTTGCATGTTTACCAACTAAAATTTCCCAACCTTGAGTACGTAAATCTGATATATTATTAATACGAATAACAATATCATAAAGTGTTTCAGTTGATCTATATTTACTCGACAATGTACTACGTGGTGAATTGTCATCATATAATTTCAGACTACCAAGGACTGTTGATAATGCATTGTCTTGACTTTTCTCCTCTTTGGAATCAATTAAATTTGTCACTGTTTTAACAAGATTCGCACCTATACCTGGTATTTTGTCCATTTGATTATTAGAATTCTGTTATGAGAATACGATTAAATACAAAGATGTTACATTCTATTCATGATTTTATTATAATGAATAAACACAATGAAAGCAATCATATCTTGATTTATAGTTGGAAAAATTTTCTTGCCCACAATGAAAACATAAATTGTTTTTTTTCCCTGTCATGTATTTGCATGATTATTGTAAAATATTTTAATTTTTGTGTTACTCATTTTTCTTATCGTGGAATTTTATTCAGACGTTATTTGTATAGTTACTTGAAAATAATCATAGAATGGGAGAAAAGAGACAAAAAAATATGAATGACGCATACGAATTAAATGTCATAAACGTTAAAAGAAGAACGAAAAGAAACCACTGATTTTTTTCCATTAGCAAAAGACAAACATATTCTCAATTCAGCAGAGGGTGAGTGAGTGTGGGTGGGTATTGGTGTAGATAAATGCGGGTATGAGTATCTAATGGATATAATAGTCACCCTCAAGCAAAAACAACATCATCGAATACTAATCAATTTTTGTTAGCATGTGATGAATCACGTATTAGTGATGTATAAAAGATACAAAGTCGAATATTAACAATTGATTAAGAATTGAGCATTTACAAAGATGATGTTACCTATTTTTATCGTGAACATAAAACACATAGTTTTGCTTTTAATTTCTGGAAGAAATATTACACGAATTTTCCATTTCTGCTTACGTAGGATGAAAAGAACGATCTCGTTTGAATCCACAAAAGTTTTAGCTTTACTATGTTCATAAAAGATAAAAGTAACATCAGAACAATAAAACGATTTTTACGTTCAGACACCTTTTTTGAATGAATTTCTTTTAATTGTATTTTTTATTGTACTATTCCAAAAATTTAGTAGTTATGTATTTATATTGAACAGTTCTTTTGTCTTTATATATACCGGTTCTGTACATTACGAATTTTTTTCTCAATACGGACATATATTTATTGTTAAACATGCACTTTCAAGTCGAATTGGACGTAGGCTATTCATTGATTTTATGGAAACATTATTACAAGATGTCTGAGTATTCAAGATATATTGAGACATTAGTTTCATATAATAGTAGCATCATAAAAAGAAATATAAATAATGTGTTCATAGATTTGTATCATACTACTAAATTAAAATAAATAATTCTGAGTTTTCAGGCATCATTTGCTTCAATTATTCGAAACGAAAATAGTAATTGTTGTTCAATTGTAGCTCGATCTAATAAAAGTATGCGTGCAAATTCCAGATTATAGATGAACTACTTTTAATACTAAAAGATATTAGTTGTAATCAATCTTAACTTGTCTCATACTTAATAGCAGTTATGTTGTATTTAATATAAAATTTTAATTGGTGTCAAACTCTACTTTCTTTATCCGCTCCCACTATACTTTTTATTACAATCGGAAAAAATGAAAATGAGAAAAAGAACACATGTATACGTAAATAATACGAGAATGTGGATTTTTACTTTGTTTCTTTAAATCAACGCAGTAGATGTCACCAGAAAAATCTATAGAAAGTACAAGTCTAATTATAATATACTGCAATTTGTATTTGTTAAATAAGTATTTGAAATAGAGAGGATACAATTTATAAACTTCGTTCTTCTCAAATACTTTACTATGTAGTGAAGTAAAGCAAAGTGAAATTTTGAAACTGATGATCAACATGATAAGAATTTAATTAAACAAATAATTTAATTATTTATAATGAACTTAAAGTATCATTGAAAATTACTTGAAGATTTCTATACGTTTACATTGTTGTTCCTATTATGAAACATTATTAGCATTGTTCGTCATACCCAACAAATACAAGAATTTCGAAATGACTCATTTACTAAAAAAAATATTGAATTTTCTCTTTCTTAACTTCATTTGCAAATAGGTCAGACTGTTTTTATGATTCATTTTTATTTCAATAATCAAAATTTGTTTTTCTCTCGATGAGATTGGAATAAACCAAATGCATGATTTTTTTCAAATCGTAAAAATAAACACAGTCATGAAGAGTATAATCGATCATCTTATAAATACTCGTCCTTCTTTTTGTATTTGAAACTGAAAACTATTTCATTTGTTTAACATGAGTGAAACTATTCCTATGACATCATATCAATCTGTTCGTTATCGAAATAAAATTGTTCAACTTAAAACATTTAATCATCATGGTATCGAGTGTCTTTTTTTCGATGAGGTCTATCAAAGCTTTCCTAAAGTCACATGTTTGTACATCGATGATAAACAACAAACATTTCTCCGTGATGAAAGCGGCCAGCGTTCCGAACCACTACGTATTAAAGCTTATATCAATGAAATTATGGACGCTTTTGAACCAGAAGAAAGTTTTCGAAATAATGATCAATGTTTACAAATAGATCATATTCAAGAATTACAAAATACTCTTGTTCGCATGAATATTAATACACAAGAAAAAATCAAACAAGCAATGACACTTATGTATGAACTTAATGAATATACAACTCCACGACATTTTTTTATTTTAAAAATAGAAAATGATAATCAAAGTATAAAAGAAAAAGCAAAAAATTTACTTCAACATGAATATAAATTATATTTCTTATGTGATTGTTCTGATGATCCAAATGAACGACATTCAGCTCCTCATGATGGTTATTTAATTAAAGAACCAGCAAAATTAATTGCTGATTATGGGAGTTATATACGAACGACATTAAATATTATTAAAACTGCACTTCCAATTATCGGTCATATTATTGGTTTACAAATACATAAAGCACCAGCATTAATTTCCGAGGTAGCTAGTTCATTAGATACTTGTACTCTCATGACTAAAATCAATGAAGTTGAAAATTTATTAGACCAAGCGGAAGAAAAATCATTTACTACAAGTACATCAAAAGAAGTCAAAGCAATGAGTCATCATTTACCATTACATGGTGCACCATTACGAGAATTAGTCAATTATTTAGAAGGTGTCGATAATAAAAATAGTCTTGGTAATTTATATAAAAAAATTACGGATGATGGTCATGTTCGATGGGTATGTCTCGAACATTATGATACTAATTATTACAAACAGAGAATGTATCAATATATTCGTCAATTAAAAGATTTAGGAGGAATATTTGATGAAAATACGAAAGAACTTATTATAACAAGTGACAATTACACACTTTTGGATATTCCTAAATTTAATAATTTATTAAAAAATGGTTTCAAAATAACAAAATTTATTATAAAAAAATGTTCTTTAAAAGAAAGCGAATTAAATCGTTTATTTGATATTTGTATAAATCAACCTTTAATTAATTTAGTTTTTTCTGATGTGAAAATTATAAGTTCGATTTTTAAGTTAAATTATATTTGTAAATCAATATCAATTTCTTTTAAAGAAGATTCATTAGAAATTTATTTACCAAATCGATATACAGATGGAGATATGAAAACAATTATTCAATTTTTATTACAAAATAATAATCGACGAATAATTAAAATTTGTGGTATTGATAAATTTGTTAATTATGAAGATAATTTTACTCAAGATAGAAAAAAAGAATCGAAAATTTTAATTGTTAATCATTTAAATAATATTGAAATATTAAATCAGATATTTTCTTCGACAATTTCATTTACTCATGTCAAATTGAATTATTATTATGGTTCGTCAACAATTTTTTTGCATTTATGTGATTTGTTAGCAAAACATTCAACATTGATTGAACTTGATTTAATCAATTCCACCGGTTTTGATGATGAAGAAGGTCTTATTAAACTTTTCAAATTATTAAATAATAACAAAATATTAAAAGCATTGAATCTTCATATTTCAAATTTACATATCTCAGAAAGAAATCGAAAAGAACGTCATTTAATTGATCTGATAAAGAATAATAATGGATTTGTTATTCGTTTGATTTTATCGGATTCAAATATTACACCTGAATTTGCAAAAGCAATTACTGAAAAATTCAGAAAAAACCCAGAGTCATTAAAATCTCTCGAACTATATAATTGTCAAATGAATTGGGAAATTCAATCAGATTTTATAAATTTATGGACAATTGAAAACGTCGTGTCTATTGAAGATGGACAATATTATTGTGTAACATCAAAAAAAATACGAGAATTAATTGGAAAAGGTAAAGAATTTTCTAAATAGAAATAAATAATTATCATCCGATTTATATTTTAGAATTTGATCAAGAGAAAAGTTTAGAAATTGAACAAGAAATTATTGATGATCATTTAAATTTAAATGAAAAACAATTAACCGATAGAGATATGATAATTCTATCAAATAATGAAAAACGTATGAAACAATGTAAACAAATATCATTGAATAATTGTCAAATAACATCATTTGAAATTCTTATCTTGGCTGATATATTATTTAATAATATTAGTCTAGAAAAATTATATTTAAATTCAAATAATTTATGTGATGGTGGTATTTATCTATTAACTAAAATATTTATGAATAACAAGAAAAATCTTCAACAACTTCATCTTAAATCAAATGAAATTACTGATGAAGGAATTAATTATTTAATTCGAATATTAAAAATCAATAAAACATTAACACATTTGGATTTATCAGATAATTATATTACTGATACTGGACTTAGAAAATTAACTCAAACAATTGATGAGGAAGAAATTAATTTAAAATCACTTGTATTGAATGGAAATAAACAATTAACTGAAACAAGTGTTTTGTTATTGATTTCAATGATTAAAAAGAGTACATCAATGGAAAATCTCTCGTTAATTGATTGTAATATAAGTGAGAAAAGTAAAGTCAAACTTAAAGAAATAGAAAAAATTAAAAAGAATATTCGTTTGGACATGTAATACTTAGTATAGATATAATAATTAATGTAAAATGATTCTATAGATATTTTTTTGTTCTGTCGTTCAATAAAGAAATAAAATTTATGAATTTGATGTTGTACATAATTCCGTCAGAATGATTCAAAAGATTCTTCTTACAATGAAATAACACCGAATCCAAGCCTAACAATCTGTATATAGACTGAAAATATCTTCAAACAAAAAATATATTTTACTTCGCTGTAATGATTTCATCATAAACCTATTCATATGTGAAAATAGGCTACATACCCTTACTTTGACTTTTTGATTTGATCGTTAGAAATAATATAAAGTTTATTTTTAAAAAAAATCAAGTCTGTATATGCTTTTTTATTTCCGAAATAATCATAGAATAATTCTTTAATAATTTCGTCGATAAAATGTTAATTATCATTTTTTTAAAAAGTAACTGAAATTATTAAAGTTTTTAATCGACGAAATATTTTCAAAAATTCTTCTAATTTATTAAACGTGAAATAAGTTGTTCCCATGTCAAACAATCCGGTACGGAAACAGCCCGTTGCATAGTATTTCGCACATTTCGTGGAAGCAGTATTCCGGTGACCGGATCTGCTCTCCAGATTTGTTGTGTTCCATCTAGAACCGGCAGCCGTTACCGGTCATCAGATCCTTTTACCGGAAATTCACGGAATACTGCTTCAGAAATCATCGCTCTCGGTTGTTATTGTTCTATGTATTAAATGAGTTAATTTGATTTATTCTTGTAATTTAATGTTATTGTCTGTTTCAATGATATTGTAACAATATAAATGAGAAAGATCAGGTGTATATGATAATAAGGAGATAAATTCATCGATGAACACAGGATGACAAATTACCAAATATTTAAGATAAAAAATTCTTCATTAATAGCAGTTGGCATTTTAGGATTTAATGCTTGATTATCTAATATTCTCAATTTAAAATATTTCAAAGATGATAAATGAAAAATCAGTCGATAAATATGACCAAGACTTATTAATAGCAGTCAAACTAGCAGTCATAGAAGAAAGGCATGGTAATGATTTAAAGTAGCATAAAAGTATTGTAAATCCAAATGTTGAAATTTCAGGGTGTGGGCGTGGGTGGATGTGAGGTGCGAGTTTTATGTCCATCACTCATTCACACCCAACTATAATAATTGAATAACTGAATCATTGAATACTTGAATAAATGAATACAAGGGAAGAAAAGCGGATCCGGGAATCCAGGATCTGCTTTTTTCCCCTTGGGCGAATACTTGAGTACTTGAATAGTTTGATATTTGAATAGTTGAATGGGTGAATACTTGAATAGGTGAATAACTGAATATTTGAATACACTCTAAAAGAAACAAAAACCGCTCTTGAATCCTCCAAAAAGGTTTGTTAAAGGCTCCGATTGCATTCATAGGTCTAAAAACGATTAAAAAAATCCATAAAAACTTAACAGTATGCGAGCGCAGGCACAGAGACGAAACCATGTCTTGCAAAACTCATTTTTAAGTTCGGCATCGCATAAAAAGATTTCGTATAGCACTCTACTACGGAACCATCAGGTTTAATAGGAAACTCTTAAGGTTTCATATTTCCCTACGAAGCGTTTTCGAAGGGTTCAGAAGCGGTTCTTTTTTTTAGAGTGTACTTGAATAGATAAATACACTGGGAGAAAAGCGGATTCGGGGATCCAGGATCTGCTTTTTTTCCCTTGGGTTAATACTTGAGACTTGAATAGATGAATAGGTGAATACTTAAATTCAACTTTCGGAGTTTGACACTACTATTTAAATACAGGTGCGTGATGAGTAGAAAAACACCATATACTGTACACACGTTTCGGTATGATCATGCAAACAACAGTTATTTGCTTCGTATTATTTGCCCTTGCGTTTAACATCTACGCTCAATTTTCTCCTGATAATGGTCAAATTCTTGTCAACAATCAAGGCTCTTCTCAACATCTAGTCAGTAGCGATGGAGGAATTGCAGCTACCAATGGACAAATTATGATGAAACATACTGGTGACGTTACTTACAAGGGCCCAGCACCACGACCTATAAATCAGAAAGGAAATCGTCAACGAAAAAGACAACAACCACGTAAGTCTACTAAATTTGTATACTATAGTTTTTATTATAATATAGATTGATTTCTTATAGTCTTCGTTTACCAACCACAGATACATTCAACTATTCAAGATCTTCTTGATAAGTCCAATGATGATAAAACTCATACTAAGATACACATACTCTTTCGTGAATATGAACCATTCAACAATCATTATTCAACATTCGACAACTTCTCAAACTACATTTCAGCACTCAACACTCATCGGGAACCAATGAATGCTGAACGACGTCAAACACTCATTGTTGACTATGGCGCTGAAATCTTAGGAGAGTTTTGGCTTACCAATTCCATGTATGTAACGATGCCAGTAGAAGATGTCAAACGATATGCACAAGAACAACAACATCATTACATTCTTCTTCATCCTGGTCATGAAGAAGGTGGTGTATGGGGATCGCAAGATCCTAGTGTGGCACGTCAAGCTATTGGTAGTGACTGGCTCTACAATGCTCAGTCTTCTCTAAACAACACCCAAGAATGTATAGCAGTGATCGATACAGGTGTACGAAAAACTCATACCCTTTTCAACTCGCCAAATAGAATCAATCGTACAGTGGATTGTATCTATGGTGGTCCTTCATGTACAGATACTACTGTAAATTCAACATTGTATGATTCTGATGATGATTATCTGTCTCATGGCACTGCAGTAGCTAGTGTTATTTCAGCCAATTCAAATGATGGAGATTCATTGCATGGAATTTCATCAACATGTATTAATTCTTATAAAGTCTTTCAGACAATACACTCATCGGGTAGTTCAACCTGTACAACTTATTTAAATAGTACATGGGTTGTCACTGCTATTCAAGCAGCATTAGCTAATGGCGATCGAATTATCAATCTATCACTTTATACGAACTGCCTCAATCAATCGTTGTGCGATGTCACTCATGCAGTTGATGCTGCCTATGATTTAGGTGCAATCATCTTTGTTGCATCGGGTAATGATGCTACTCAAGGTCAACAAAAAGCACCAGCACATTCAAGTAAAGTTCTGACTGTTGGAGCAGTAGATTTACTCAATTTAACACATACATCTTCATACCAAGCCTCGGGACCAACTTCTGATGGTCGAATTAAACCTGAACTTCAAGCTCCATCTGGTTTTTATACTGCTTATAATGGATGTGGTGGTGAGGGAAATTGGTGTCCATTAAATAACAATGGAACAAACAATGGCTTCTGGACAATTGATGGAACATCAATTTCAACGCCAATAGTCACTGGTGCTGCATATATGCTCAAGAAACAACTTATTAGTTATGGTGTTGCCAATCCTGAGCCTGGCCTCATTTATTCATGGATTTTAACATTAACAAATGGTTTACAAATAACAAATACTACTGGAGCAGGGCTTCTTTCACTTGGTTGGCGCCAATGTACATTCATGTGGCAAACATTATCCGCTAATCAATATATCGAAAACAACTTTAATATTGATTCGTCGAGCGATTCATATGGATCGAAAAGAATGGATGTAGTTGTTTGGTGGCCAGAATCCAGTACACAAACTGTTCGTAATCAAGTGTCACTCAAACTGAAGAGTCCTCAAAATGTTGTACTTACTCAAGCAAACGCACCTCAACAAGTATGGCAAAAAATTAGTTATGTACAACCAGGAAATACAAGAATACCTAGTGGTACATATGTCATTCATATTGATGTGGGTACTCTTCAGCCATCAGCCAACAACGTACGTCTTCTTCTCACTGCTTGCACTCGACCTGAATAAATGACTCTCATCCATTTATCTTCATTAATATTCTAGACTTTTCTTTTTTTTTCTATCATCTTATTCGATCTATATATTTAATCCTGATTTTCATTTTTATCGTAAAAAGATGTTTACTCAGTAACCTATCACAATTAATAAATCAATTTAAAGTTAAAATCAATACGAAGGGTTGAGGATCTTAAAGAGGAGTCTGTGATATTTTTTTAGTTTATGTAGTGAAAATGTGCAAAATATCTTTAGTTGATATTATCAAAAGATACGCACACTCTCAAGTGTGTTTTACAGAATAAATGTTTTATATGGCAAGCGGAAAACATGTATGTTAGGAAATAAACATCGTTTCAATGTTTGATCATTTGGAATAACCATTTTTTTGTGATTGATTAATTCTAGTGGACAAAAAACTGTATATATAATTTAATGATCATATGCTTAATGAGTTTAAACAAGAGTGACAATAATAATTAAAATTGAAATTATATTAATGAAGAACAATATTAACTATTTTATCAAGCATTTTGACTAAAGATGAATAAAAAAGAGTATACACTTTAATTATCATCAAGGCTCTCTGAATAGTAACATAAGCTTGAAGCCAATTTTCAATAGATATAAATAAATGAAAAGAAAGTTTTTTTTGCTCGTGAGAATATGTTTATTTTGTTGAAAATATTGATAACGAATCCTTCTTAGTCACTTGAATAGTTTCGATGAAAATCTATAAAATTAGAATCACTGAAGTCTTTCAATATGCATCTCTACATTAATATTTGTTGGTATTAAATCATTTCTATTGTCTACAAAATTCATTGAGCTATGCTACTGACATATTATAGATTGAATTTTACATCAAATAACCTTTATTTTTTGTTTTATAAACTTATGAATAAAATAATAAACAATACCAGAAAGCTATATGTTAAAAAGAAAAGAAATAGCACATTGTATGTGCAAAAGTTTAATCAGTTTGTGTGTATGAAATCGTTTGTTTTATAAGGTTGTACAGCAACATGATTGATGATCTAATGTTAATCCATTTTGGTTGGTATCTGTATGTATAGCTTGTGTAAGCTCTTCACTAACAGATTCTAGTTTGATGAGAACAACATTTCCATTTGAATCAACTGACCATTGTTCATTAACAAGTGTCGTTGGATTTTCATGAGTTAATTGTCCATCTTTTTTTAAACTTAATGTTTTATAACTCATGTATAAACTTGTGTCATCTATCTTATTTGGACATACAAATGCCATTGTGGCATATCCATTGTAACCTAATGGTACATCAGGCAAAAATAGATTGTCATGAATATGATATAGTCGATCGTCATAACATAATAATTTTGTTTCACGAGCTTTGACTGGAAGTTCTTTAGCCAATGTTGGAAAACCAGAATTGCCAATACATCGACCATAGAAAGTAAGAGTTTTATTTGATATTGTCGATGGTATAATTGTTTGTTTCTCATAGAAACTTAATCGATGTTCATGACCCCATAAATACAAAACTGTTCGTCCTTCTGGTAATAATGATGCGATTTGGGATGGAAAATCTAAAAATAGAGAAAAATTAAAAAAATTAATACTATAAATTAGACGATAGATATGAATTAACCTGTATTTGGTTTTTCATTCCATGCACTAACAACTTGATGATGTGTAAAAAAGATTAATCCACGTTTATCCGTCATTTGTGGATTAAGACCAACAACATTTTTAAGCCAATCCATTAGTTTCGATGGAAATTTAATTGCTGAATTATCTATAGATAATAATGAATATGAATCATAACCAGAATCTAATCCAATTATTCTCCATTGATCATTTTCAAGTACCCAATATGATGTTTTTTGTGATTGTATAGGTTTTGTTAAATCTTGAGGATTAAATAATCCAACTGTTGGGAGAAAATAATCCCAATAACCAAAACCACGACTATATAATTCATGATTTCCAGGTATTGTAAAACTTCCATTTTGTCCAATTGGCCATCGAACACCTTGTTCAGCCCATCTAGGTTTAATACCAAGACAACAATGTTGAACTTCTGTTGGTAAACCAACATAATAAATATCACCTAAATGTATTGTATAATGTGGTAAATCACTTGTTGCT